TTTCAGGCATGTCCTGAATTACCTTAAGAGACTAGATCAGCTTTGATCCAAAAAAGAATATATATTTTTTCTGCATGTTTCCTCTAGTTTTGAGTGAAAGGCAAGCCTGAGAAGAACGTGCAAACAATTGCTTTAAAGTCTCTGGAAGAGCCACAGTTGCGGTAATGCGGAGGTATTGCTGTTTCAACCTCAGTCTTCCTAACTTCTACTTTTCTAGAAGCCTTCAGCAAACTGTATCTACTTTAGATTTTTGACCAACTTTGCGTGTGTCCCCAGTTGTTCTAAACCTCCCTCTCTTCAAACAGCTAGGAAACTTATGTTTTGTTCTTTCTTCTTACTATTATTCTTTTTCTTAACTTTTTTTTTTTTTTTAGCTTATCAGGTAATTGGGAAAGGCTAGGTAAATATCTCCAGGAAATTGATGATAGACTGGAATTAAAACAGGAGGGTAGATTTGCTCTGCTTTGAAAATCATATATAGGGTTATTTAATAAGTGTTTATTTGCTGAGTCTGTTTTGACTGTTGTTTTGGTTTTATTCTTTAGACTGGATTTGTACTGAGTACATCTGCATCAAGACATTTAAACCCAGGGCAATGACACCTCACTTGAGGAGATTTGTGTTTAACACAGCCACAGTTCATATGCTATTTTCAGTTGCCACATGTGCTTGCGGTAATGTTGTCCCTGAAACACAAGCGGGAACACACTGCTTTGCCACCTTTATTTGGGAAAGGCTAGGTAAATATCTCCAGGAAATTGATGATAGACTGGAATTAAAACAGGAGGGTAGATTTGCTCTGCTTTGAAAATCATATATAGGGTTATTTAATAAGTGTTTATTTGCTGAGTCTGTTTTGACTGTTGTTTTGGTTTTATTCTTTAGACTGGATTTGTACTGAGTACATCTGCATCAAGACATTTAAACCCAGGGCAATGACACCTCACTTGAGGAGATTTGTGTTTAACACAGCCACAGTTCATATGCTATTTTCAGTTGCCACATGTGCTTGCGGTAATGTTGTCCCTGAAACACAAGCGGGAACACACTGCTTTGCCACCTTTATAGTGGCGATGTGACTGGGAGGCCGTGAGTTGTCTTCGCGAAGAAACCTGGACGTGAACCTTTTCTTAGGGCAGGGAGGAAGTAGTGTGAAGACATTTCAACTGGTATAAACAAACTGGCTTGCAAAGTTTTGGAGATATCTAGCTGGGTAGCTTTCCAATGTAATAGCAGAGAGGCCAGTTGTATTCCTGGGGGAAATTCTGGTTTTTATCAGTAAGTGGAAAATCTTTTAAATTATGAGCTTTCTCTATTTTTGTTAAACAAATTTGATATCCTAGAGCCCCTCTGCAAGTCTAGGGAAAACATTTAATTATAATTTCAGGCAGCACACACAACACTGCTAAGGAGTGTCAATCATGTTTGCAAGGAAAAACATGGCACTTAGGGGCTGTCACTCATGTCTATTAGTAGAGTTGTAGAAAGCTTTAAGGATTGTTGGTTTTGTATTTATCAAATGCAAAGATAAAACAAATTTTTGTAAAATGCATGCAAATTGATCACCGTCACGTTAAGGTTTGTTAGGCTTTTTATTAGAGAGATTGTAGGAGAGATGAGTCCTCTAGTTAAGCTATTCCCAACCAGTATCATTAGTGATAAATAGGAGGAATTGAAGAAGTCCAGTCTTACCACAGACAGTAAACATCGGAGTGGTATATTCTATATGAAATACACATATTCCTAAAAATTAGGCAAGAGAGCATTGCAGCTTAAAATACTTCAGCATGGTTATTGCTCGAATCTTGTGGTAACGTAACGTTTGCCGTTACTGCTGAGAGCCGTGCATATATTCACAGTCGTTAGTTGAAACGGAAGTTTGGGGCTCTGTTTTCAAACTTAAGGTTTCTCAAAACAATTTTTTTTTCAATTTTCTTGAGAGTTTTTTCCATTCAGTATTATTTTCTCAATCAAAAACTCGTAGCATGCATCCCAAAGAGTGCCGAAGATTTTGATGTTACCTTTTAAAAATAAAATGTGGTAGCTGAATTGAAGCGTTTCTTTCAAACCTGTTAATGATTTCCGTAAAATATATTGCTGAATCCCCACCTGCAGTTGAATCTTTATTGAAAGCAAAACAAGATGCTGATGGTATAAAAGCAATTGCCTTTTTATAGTAGAATTATGTCACTGGCATAAACTTTTCGTTAGCATGTCTGAAGCAGTCCATCGAGCACGTGACTTTGCTCCTAGTAGCTATTGGTAGCCAGCAACTTGCGTGTGTGTCTGTGTGTGTTTTTAACAATAAGCACCAAATTTAAAGTTATGAGACATTGGTTTTAGCACAGTTGTTTCATTAAAAATACTATTTATGGAAGGGCTAGTGATTTAATACAAGATATTTGCTGCATACAAATACAAGTTTAAAAGGATGTGCTACAGGTTCGTAAAGAAGTTAGCATTAAAAATTGAATACATATAATCAAATGTTTGCTTGAAGTATAACAATTACTAATCACAGGAGTATCTTTGAATATACACCTCAATTGTAATCTGTTTAGTGATTTAATAATACAAACGATTAAAAGTTTGCATTTTCCTGTCTTCTACCACTTCTGTCTTGCATACCAATTGTCTTCATAGGAACATGATGCTGATGGCAGTCTTAAAGCGTGTGCTAAACTGGTCTCTCATCCTCTTTGATGTTTGGCTGATGACATCAGATGTTTTTCCAACAGATTTTTTTTTGGGTATACTTTTATAGTGAAATAAGCTAGTCATCATCTTGAGTACCATTATAGATATCTATGACTCTACCCAGATAGTTCTTTGTTTCTGTGCTAGCGCTGCTTCTCCAGGTCCTTCTGAATTTCTGAAATCTCTTTTACTTTTTGTATCTTTTGCTTGTCATCTAGCATTGTTTCAGTGTCATTGCACGTCTTTCCCTCTAGATAAAATATTTTGTCGGCTGTTTTCCAATTGCTGTTTTGGGTTATTAATGCCTATGTATTTAATCTTTCTCTTACTGGTAAATGAGCAACCTTATGCTGGTAAATCAAATACACTATTTTTTTATTTCATATAAACATAGCCCATTCAACCCCATCACAGAGGTGGTGGTGTTTGGCTTTGCTTCTGTGTTACGCTATCCCGTAGGGTACCACGGTTACCCAAAGCGTGACTGCAGCATGCTGCCAGGCGCCCTTGGAAAGACACAGAACTCATGGTTAGGGATGCTGGACGCACCTCCCTGTTCTGCGGTGTGCCTGCTGTGGAGGTCCTTTCTCAGCTCTACAGTTCGTTGTCGCCTTTGGCAGTTGGTACTATAAGGATATGTTTTTTAATACACTGTTTTGACTTCTCGTGCTTCTTGGTTATGCTTAAGGAAAGCTCATATGGAAAGTACTAGAGGTTGTTTTGCAGCTTGTGTTAAACATCGTTCCGATAGTGTTTTCTACACCAGTCCTTTCACCATTTCTCAGTTTCCTGAGGGCCTTTCTGAATTTTGTCATTTAATGACCTTCAAAATCAATATCAACCTCCAGTAGTAGGTCTTTCTCACATACTGCTAATGGCTAGTTTGGGGGTCCTGATTGTGATTTTCATGTTAATTCATCTGTGTCCATTTTCTCAGAGTATTGGCCTCATCCACCGGTTGGAAAAGTGCTTTCCGTTACCCAAGCTAGTAACCTTAGTTTAAGAAGAACTGCTCATCTGTTGTTTGGGGATTATTGATTCATAATGGGAAGACATCTATACGGAGGTGTCCTGTGGGTATAGCAGCAGTGGTGGAGTAATCGAGTAGTCTTTACATTATTCTAGTAGAAATTAAACTGTTCTTCACCATCAAACAGCCTCTTGTAATAGGAGTAGAGATGATGTAAAGCACAGGATTAAAAAAAAAAAAAGAAAGAAAGAAAGAAAAAGAAAATACTCCCCAAAAAGCAGAATGCAATCTCTTCATGAATTGGTAGAAGAATATGTTTGTGCTTGCACACCTGCTATTACGTACATTCAAACTAGAACTCTTGTCAAGCTCTTGCCCTCTCAAATTCTGTGATACTGCATTTTTCCGCATCCTGGGCCATTTTATACGCTAGCACTTACCTTGCTCTTTCTGTTATCTGGGATGTCAGGCACAATCTAAGTTGCGATGTCTTTGCTTGACAGACATTTTGAGAAAAGCTCACCTCTGTGCTCAGGAATAATATTCTGCCCCTGCTAAGCAGGATCAGCTGGGACATGCAGAACAAAGCGCTCTGCCTGGTTGCCTTGAATAATGCTTGCGTGGCGAAAGGAGTGAAACCTGAAAGGTGCAAACTTGGACCGGTTATCGGACCGGTTACTGCTACTCTAGTAGCAGTATTTGCCTAGAAGAGGTGAGCAACGACACCAAAAACTTAGGACTCTCAAATTACGGCAGAAGATGCCGTGAGCGGTGGGGAAGCGGCCTGCGAGGCAGCCCCTGGCGCGGGGCGCTCCTCCGCCGGGGTTCAACACGTGGCGTGCTTTGTTGTTGTTAGCGCAGAGCGCAGACCTCCCAAAGTTTTCAGAAACTTAAAGAGAATAATCAGCTCCTGAACTCCGTGACAAACGTGGTTTATGTGTAAATGTCGCTGTGAAAACGTTTGACTGGCAAGCGCATTGGACACAGTGAGACATCCCGTCCCTGGGGATAATTAGCACTGTGGGTACGCAGCCAGTGCAAAGCTGCTCGGCCCGGCGGCTGTGAAGAAATAAATATCTTAAGGAGAGGAAATAATCAGAACAGATAACAGAGGAAGTGTGTAAAACCAGCCATATTAATCGTATTAGGCCTGGGTTTGAACACGCTTGGGGAGCCGTGTATTTTGATGTGAGCAGGGTGGCCCTGGGGGCTGCGGGGGCTCCAGCCCCACGCCTCTCCAAACCTCTGCCAATGCCCAAATTCGGTACTCGTCGGGGCGCGACGGTCGGGAGGGTGTCCCCGTGGTCACGAGGGTTTCTGGATCTCGTTGCAGACTCCCGCGGAGCAGGCCAAGGCCAGGCTGCAGCTGGTGCTCGAGGCAGCAGGTAAGTGTTGCTGTCGCACGTCCAGCTCTGCACTTCAAATACCCTTCGTAGGGTCGGAAAAATGAAACCCGTCCAGATAGTATTTTCTCCTTTTCGTTTTGCCAAATGCTGAATCCCTTTCTCCATAGCTCACTTCAATTTCTAATTAAGTCGGAACTGGTCTACATCACCGTTGGCACTTAATAAATTGCTTTAAGGAGGTGGCAATAAGTATTTTTCATTGTCTGCTGCTGGAGAACTAATCTTCAGGCTTCGCATGTTTTTCCTCTTGCTGCTGCTGAGCCTTTGCAGGCTCAAAAATTTGTTTTCCTTTATTTTTTTAATCTTGAACAGAATTAATGTGTATATATGTATTTATTTATTTGAGGTGGTAGTAGAAATATCTAGCAAGCTTTTGAAGAGGCTCAGACGACAGGCCTGCAGAGAGCCCCATTTTGCACAGCGTTATATTCGTCTAGGACTAGTAAGAAGAAAGGCAAGAACTCTTTAATCTTGAAACCTTTAATTTAAATAAGAATTGGAGGAATCCTCTAGTTTCACATCAGGTTTAGAACTTGAAGGGACCGGTTGGGTCTGCGTTGGTCCTGGGACGCCGGGTGGCTGCGGCAGCCTGCCGCCTCCGCTTCCAGGCGCCTCGGCCTCCGGCGGCGTTTTGTGTCGGGACGCCGCCGCCGCCTTCGCGGGCCGGGGCAAAGACTTTGTCCCCTCTTTACCCAATGCCCAAATCTTTGTTTACGAGAGCTGCACTTGCTTTGCTCTGTAGACTGCACGTCTGAAATGAGCATCTAGGCTCACCCGAGAATCTTGCTCTATAGTAGCATTGTTGGAGGGTGACTACAAATAAATTAGGAATGAATCATGATAAGTCTTTATTCATAATATGCTAATTGTGCTTTAGATACTTTCATTTCTCCCAAAATTATTCAAAATAGCAGTCTAACCCCCCATTAAGGTGTGTAATTGTAATTATTTTTATACCTTCTATTCCTATTTTCACTTTCCCATCAAAACTTTGTTGGTTTATCACTAAAAAGAAAAATTTGCAGCATTTCATGCATGTTGTAACAAATACATATTTGCAATACTTTCTGGTCCTTAGCTCAGCTTTAGTCTCTAATATATGTAGTCTTCATTTATAAACAACAATTTCCAAGAAATATCAGTATTTTTTTTCCACTTCTGGAAAGCTTTTGTTTTAAAGGGAAATGCATCTTCTGATATTTCTGGATTATTTTTTTTTTCCAAAAATGCATCAAGCCTTTTATATTGTACAGCTTCAAATGCATTCATTGTTCTCCATAACTTTTAATAAATCTTTGAAGCATATAATTATAAAATAGATGTGACAGCTCAAACCAAAAAAAGCACAATTTGTTTATACTACTCACATCTGTCACACCTCATTTTTTAATTTAACACCTGGGAAATGTATAAAAGATATCTATGAGTTATATATCATCATGACCTGGGTCCCGGAAATTTCCAAAAACATTTAAAATGCCTATGACACTTTTTAATTTAAAATTTCACAATTGAACTCTGAAACTTAGATTGAAGGTGCAAACGGTTCATAAATAACTCAAGAGATGTAATCTGTTTGTTTCTCTTAACATTAGAAATATAGGAAAAAAGTTCTGTTCCTGATTTTGTTTAAGGGTTGATAATCTTACACATTTATGAGATCATCCTCTCCCCCCTCCCCTAGTCCTGACCTTAACTAATTAAATTGAATTTTTATTAAATTGGTGCAAGAGGAGTGTTGGGAGTGTTAATAATGGTTTTTCATATATTCTTTTTTGTGTGTTTATGCATTGCAAAATGAGCATGTTTCTTTACCTTGAAGTTGAAAAAAAAAAAATTATGCCAGAACATTACTGAGCAGGTGTTTTTGACAGAAACATATTTTATCTCTTATTCCAGTAATATGAAATTGTTTTAGAGGCATTACTTTCTATACTAACTCATTGGCTCAACTTTTCAGAATAATAATCATTCAGCATTTTAGAACTGGATTCTAACTTGATTTTCAGCAGTATTTGTTAAATAGGAAAATTATTAGTAATTGTATTTATATGTTATTCTGTCGAATAATAGCTAAATAATATTTATATTGTACTGTCCATAGATAATTATTTTAAATGTGTTTTGTTGACTTTTTGAGAAGTTCAGAATCAATGGGTTAACAGTTGCTGTAGCATGATGTTGAATGCTTTATTTGCATATAATGTAACTTTCAATCAGTACTTTAGTGATGGTGAATGAAACTGGTTCTTTTGTATGTAGTGTACAGGACAGGAAACATCCCAAACTTGTGAAATAACTTGTAGAGCGTCTGGCTGTACATGTTATAGGAAGTGCTTCGTTCCATTAATTGGCGGGGAAGAAAGCTGTGCCACGTCCAAAATGTGTTGTCTGTGTTTTAATGATTACTGATAATGCTGTTCTCGTTTCTATGACATGGACAAAAAAAAACCAGTTTTATCTTCTACAGCAGCTCAAAATTACCAACAAGTGTTGGAGAGGCCTTTGGGAAGGTCCCATCTTTGTTCATCTCTGTTCATCTCTGTCGAAATGCTTTTAGGTTGGCCTCTCAAACTTCCATTTCCATGTCATTTCTTTTTATTAACATTCCAAGTTAATCTAACATTTTCTTATATTATTTGTATTGAAATATATTTGCTCATTTCATTCTGAAGATTTCCATATCTTACTATACTTGGACAGTATTAACCTAGAAAAGGTTACCTGGCTTATTTAGCAAATATTTTGGTTCTTAATATACTGGAAATGCCTTTGGATAAACATAACAGCAATATAGTACAGCATCACCTTAACTGTAAGATTACAAAATATATTGCAAACTATATTAAAGGTTAATATGCTTAAGCCAAAAGTTATTTATTGATATTATACCAATGTTTGTTGTAAGAGCAGTTTGATTTTACCTTCAAGCTGTCTGATGGGTTTTGTAGCTTGCTTATAGCCTCTCCTGGAGTGTATTTATCTACTATTTAAGTGAATAATCTGCTGTTCACCATAGCCTCGTGATGCTTTGGATTAATTTATTTTACTGACTAGGTTTCTCTTTTGCTTAGCCCCATCAAATAGCCTAACTTCCAATGTATCCTTTGTCAATGTTACTACTGTAGATGAAAATGCTGTATTTAAAAGGGAAAGAGAACAACTGGAGTGTGAGTTTGTGTGTACGTGTGGCAAAGTCGGGTCAGGGTTCTGTTGGACCTTGCTTCACTTTGAGAAAAGAAAATTGTCTGCAGTCAATACAAGTCTGCAATATATCCCTGTTGAACTGAAGCTAATTTGCATCACAGTTGCTGAAAATGGTGTTAGAACGTAGCTTTAATGACTTAGATTGGCCAATGTTGGTGAACACACGTTTGGAAGGGCGGTAGGTAGGTTACCTGCCATCAGCTGGGATTGCTGTTGGAAACTGCTGCCCCCATCCACACTGCCTGCCATCTCCTCTGCTTGCATTTAGATTAGAAACACATCTGCTTTCATTTAGGGGGGCTATATCTTTGATTTAAAAAAAATGTGTGTGTGTACATATATATCTGTGTGTGTGTGTGGCGCACGCATGCACATGTTTGATTGAAAGCTTACAATTCTTGAGGTTTTTTTAGATCCGTGACTATGTATGCCTCATACAGTAAACGTTTTATCTCAGAATTGTCCTGTGATACATTTAGGCATTTATAATAGGTTTACACAAAAACTGTGGGAGGGTTATGTCCCTTGCCAGTCGGTCTAGGTGGGAAATGGAAATAGTCATGTCACCTGAGCTTGTTGAGGTGCAACTCCTTGTTGTTGAAAACAGTTTGGTTTAAAACTCACCTCAGTACCTGAAGCATGTAGAAATCAGTGAAAGTTTAGATAGTCCATGTTTCGCCTTATTCTTTTTCTGGTGTTTCAGTGAAGTATTTACATATAAGGGTTGTCTTCTCAGTCTGAAGATGCTTGTGTGATCTTTCTTTGAGAGTATAAGTTTTTGTTTCACATCAATCTACTGACATGGAAATTATGCTCAAAATGTAGAAATTGAATATCCCTGTGGCTTTAAGCAAGAGAAGGAAAGTTGCATATTGAATACATTCATAATGTGGTGTATTTACAGGATATAGGTTTTGAAAGTGTTTTCACCATCTCAACTTTTCCAGGTCCTGCTCTAGTACAATGGCCATAGTTTATGCAAGTTGATTATGCATTATTGTGCTCCCTTCATTCTTCACTAATCTGTCCATCACCAGAGATGCTTGAGTTTAGGGAAGCTGAATGTCCAGTGGCCTACTGATCAGCTGCAGCTTCGGTAGGTATTGGAGATGTTCAGTATGGGAAAAATCTGTTTCTGGAATCTAACCTAGATAGTCATTCAGGAAATATCAACCAATCTCTCTGAAAACCAAAAGACAGAAAATAGTAAAACAGACTTAAAAAAAGAAAAAATTATTTTTTATTGGTGCCTTTGAGGAACGGGAATCCCTCTTTAGGGGAGAGCTGGTAAAATATAGCGTAGTCACCTATAGTTCTGCGAGGCGGAGAGGAACATGGCCATTCTTATATTCTGATAACATATTGCTGACAAGAAGTTTTGTCTCTGTGTTCTTAGTTTGTGCTGATTTTGCTGTACGCTTTAAGTAATTATTTTCTTTGTTAGTATAAATTAATATCAGTATCTTTGTTCTGATTAAACAGGGTAATATTTGAAGATGCAAAAGCACTCCACTTTAATTGCCAAGGAGACTGATTTCTGGTTTATAAAAACTGTCTTTCATTGGAAATTGTTGGTCTCAGCCATAAATTTATATTTGCATGACTTTATTTACTTATCCTTCTTAATATTTAGATACAAGAACGCCTTTTTAGAATCGTCTAACAATATCACAGCAACTTGCCACGTTTGAGCAGATGTTAAGCAGGCAATAGTTGAATGTTAATTTTGAGAGGGTGGTATGTTTAAGCCTATCTGAAGTATGTTGCATGTG